AAAACAATTCATAAATATTTATGCGGAAAATCTAATGGAAATGAAGGCATTTCATGCGAAACAATCTCAATGAGTATGTAAATGGATCTCACATTTCCCGGTGCGACGACATCCGAGCAGTAATAACAGCCCAAATCGGCGCCACTCACTCGCCTCGACCTCCCGGTGCCAGTCGTAGATGTTGTCGAAAGCTCGCCACCGACAGCTCCGACAATAGACTGATCGTTGGTCGCACCTGTAGTCTCCGTACGTCTCACGCCATGCCTTTGAACTAAAAAGGTGTCGAACCCGAGAGCAGCGTTTATGACCAACTGTTCCAGTAGTCAAAACATTAGATGAGTTATTCAGAAAATAAATGAGAGGAACGACATGTCAACAGTCATACCTTATTCTTAACGGCCGACAACACTGTCGGCAGCCATCGGCTCTCTCTGGTGTCCATCAATAGGAAGACCACATCGTTATCATCGATCAGTTGCTCCAGAAGTTGCACTTCTTGTCTGCATTTTTCTTTAACTTTTTAATTAATANATCAATGGTTCGCCAAAAGTATTGTCTGACGTCTGGACTGAAAGCAATGTATTTATCGATAGATTTATTTTAATCATGATTTTAATAATTAAAACTTTTATTAATAGATAAATGCTTTACATTCTGAATACATAAACAGCACATTAGACGAGAAAAACAAAACATATTTTTTAGTCTTTGTTTCGAACAATTCCTCTGCGGTTACCATACATTCAATACAAGAATATTCTGTACTCAAAGACACACCAAATGGAAAGGTATTACCGTATAAACTATCAATTATAACATTATAAACGTTAATTTAATTGAAATGATTATTTAATTTCAATGTTTTAGATATACTTTTCATTCGCCGACTCCAGTAGTTCCCAGTCATACCCGGGTTGGCCTCTAAGGAATTACTTGGCATTCATCGCCATTCACTTCAAATTGAATAACTGTGCCGTTTTGGCGTTCAGACTGAGGGACAGATCCGCCAAAACTAGTCTTTTACTGGACATTGAATGGGAGGACAACCCGGAAGTGCCGGACATGGAGTCAATCGAATGCGTCGGTTGGGAGAAGAACGAGAAGAACCTATTGTTGCCCCGAGTGGTCGACTTGAGTGCACTTATGGATCCGCACCGGTTGGCCGAAGGGGCCGTCGACTTGAATCTCAAGTTAATGCGCTGGCGATTGGTTCCGTCTCTCGATTTGGACGCCATATGCGCCACAAAGTGTCTTATCCTGGGTTCAGGAACTCTGGGCTGTTCTGTAGGCCGAGGATTATTGGTATGACTTTATTGTGTTTGTTATTCACAAGTAAAACACATTTTTGATGGATAGGCGTGGGGTATAAGAAACGTGACATTTGTGGACAACAGTGCCGTCTCGTACTCCAATCCCGTCCGGCAGTCGTTATTCACATTCAACGACTGCTTAGACGGCGGCAAACCTAAGGCCGAAGCGGCGGCTGAAGCCTTAAAGACTATATTCCCGAACGTTAACTCTAAAGGCATCCAACTGTCGCTCCCAATGCCCGGACACCCGGTGCCCGACCAGCGTATGTATTGACGAAAACCATAGAAAGGCAATATTTTCAGTTAAAAACAATTTTTTCTATTAATTAAAAAGTTAAAGAAAAATGCAGACAAGAAGTGCAACTTCTGGAGCAACTGATCGATGATAACGATGTGGTCTTCCTATTGATGGACACCAGAGAGAGCCGATGGCTGCCGACAGTGTTGTCGGCCGTTAAGAATAAGGTATGACTGTTGACATGTCGTTCCTCTCATTTATTTTCTGAATAACTCATCTAATGTTTTGACTACTGGAACAGTTGGTCATAAACGCTGCTCTCGGGTTCGACACCTTTTTAGTTCAAAGGCATGGCGTGAGACGTACGGAGACTACAGGTGCGACCAACGATCAGTCTATTGTCGGAGCTGTCGGTGGCGAGCTTTCGACAACATCTACGACTGGCACCGGGAGGTCGAGGCGAGTGAGTGGCGCCGATTTGGGCTGTTATTACTGCTCGGATGTCGTCGCACCGGGAAATGTGAGATCCATTTACATACTCATTGAGATTGTTTCGCATGAAATGCCTTCATTTCCATTAGATTTTCCGCATAAATATTTATGAATTGTTTTCGTTTTATATAAGATTTGAAAATATTTGAAATTTTATGAAATATTAATGAATAGTACACTGGATTATGGTTTATAGTTAGAAATGACCATTATTATAAACCTATTGAGTTATGAATTGTGAAAATATGGTTATTTCTAGTGATTTCTAACATATATTATTCACAAAATATGCTAATAATGTACAGAATTTAGTGCAAAATTCCTGTCATGTTTATTATAGTGGGTGTTGACTGTATGTGCGAATTGGTTGAGATATGAATCATAATATCTATGATTTTGTGTCTTATTTAATGAATCATCGATTGATTACTCACTCCAAACGGCTCAGGGTTTGATTGATTGCTGTGTTATTTGAAATTACATTTAATTTCGACGATTATATCGCTTATGGAAAACAAGTTATTTATAAAACTTGTTTTTCAGTTATATTGTAATACATTATTTGATATTGTATTACAAAAAATGATTGAATGAAGAATTTTTTGTTTTGTAGTATTTAATCAAATGCTATAAAACTATCGTTTAAATTAAGATTTTTATTGCAAAAATTTTGAGAGAGAGAGAGAGAGAGAGAGAGAGATTATATTAAAATAAAATTATTTTATTAAAGTCTAAAGTATTGTAATAAAGTTTAAGCGGTTTTAATGTGTCGTAAAATAGGGTTAAAACAAATGCTGAGACAAAACAGATTTAGGAAATAGTTTTGCGTTTTGATTGAATGGTATCACAATTATAGCCCAAACCGTATAATAGCCCAACATTTTGGAGATTAAAATAATTCCTAAAAAGACATTTGCAATCAAAAGCCTAACGCATAGCATAACTAAATGAGAAACCATTAAAATTTCGGGGATTTTATTAAATACTATAAGAAATTTAATAGCATTTAAAGGATACACAGACAGAATGAGGGGAAAGGTAGTCACCAGCATCTCATATCATGTATATAATGGTTATTACAGACAATTATTTTGGTGTAATTCTTTAATTGAAACTGAACATTTTTGCCTATAATTATAATAATGATCTTATAATGAATGAACTGTCGTTCCTTTGGTGGACACCACCACCACCTCAACTTAGGCACAGTATATAACATTTTGTGTTTAAGCCCAACATTTGTAGGCAATTATTTTTAGGTATAAACTTTTTTTATTGTCTATTAAAAGTGTGTATAAATTTGAATAAATTTTAAGCACTTTTATGATGTGAAATCTCATTGTTCTGAGAGATCACAGGTATGCCTATAGCCCCTGCCCTCCAGTATAATGTATGTGTGCGGGGGTTAATGACTGTCATTACAATTACCACACAATTGACTGATTAGTCGCCGCAAAGAATTTAATGCTATAATTGGTATATAATTAAAGCAATGATTAGATTAAACGCAATGAATATTCCGACCATTGTTTGCCATATTTGTAGCCAAAAGCCTTGACTTTGAGTGAAATTCCGTAATAAAACAAACCTGTCTTTAAACGCATTGAATATATCGTGTAATTAATATGTAATTAATTTTAATGTTTCAATGTTTGATCCCAACCCACACTACTCGTCCCGACAGTCGACTCGTGACCGAACCCTCGACCAGCAGTGCACTGTCACCCGGCCCGGGGTGTCGATGTTGGCCTCTGCACTGGCCGTAGAGCTCATGGTGTCTGTATTACAGCACCCGTTGCGGTAAAACAGCATCTCATTGGACATTAGAAAATAGTTAATTATGAAAACTAATTGTTTATTAGAGGGGCGGCGCCGGCACTGGTAGTCAGCGGCGACTACATGGATGAGGTAGACAGCGATGCCGAGACTGCCCTGGGATTAGTGCCGCACCAGATCCGGGGCTTTTTGTCCCGTTTTCAGCAATTGATGATCACTAGTGAACGGTTCACCAAATGCAGCGCCTGTTCCCAAGCCGTACGTACACCACATATACCCATAAAATACATTTTAACGACACAAATATCTGTCCATCAGGTGATCGACGCTTATAATGAAATGGGTTTTGAGTTTCTGTTCA